AAATAAGTACAGAATTATATTACATCACTCATCACTGTTCATTTTACATTCTTCAAGTAGATGCATGTTTACAGGACAGTATATCTTGTGCATTTATAATTAAATCTTGCAATATCTTGTTCAAAACCCTCAAATCCAAGATAATCGGCAGCCAGCCATGTTACCAGTAAGATTTCTAGTCTGTTAATTTTGAAATGACCAATGTTGTACTCGAATATAAATATTTATACTTTAATTATTGAATAGCCCCTGTATATCGCTGACAAGGTATGCTGTTGTCGCGATATAAGATGTTCTTTTGCTTGCCAAAGGGCTAATTTTACGCATAATTGTATCTCTAAATTGATCATTCCTGACTTTAAATTCCAAAAGCCACGCGAGAAGCAGTTTAAGACGTCTTTACAAGTCCAAATATATCATAAATTGCAACAAATAATCCATTCTCACTCCTTGCGTAAAATATGCCCAGTCAGCGTTTTTAGCTGGAGCTACTGTTTACTTCCGCTTCCGGGGGCACCACTGTTCTATGGTGTTCCGGTTTGGATTATCCCAGGGCTTCTGAGAGCAATAAGCGCAGAAGCCCTGGGTACGAGGTTGTTTCTTCGAAAATCTTTTTTCGTTTATATATTTCAGGATTATTACTGTAATTTGAGCGCAAAAGAAGATTCGGAAACATAGTTGAAAAAAACATATGTGCGCAATGCTGTACACAGTTAAGATATATTCACTGAACCATCTTTTTCCTTCACCTGATGAATTGGTCGTGAATATTTTATATCTGCTGCTACTCCATTGTAAAGAGCCATCTCCAGCCCAAATTCTAACAGTATACTTAGTGAACGGTGTCAGTCCAGTAATACTGAATTCAGTTCTAGGTTCCTGTCGACGCATTCCCTTTAGATAGCTTTCGTTGAGTTTAATATGGTAACGTGTTATGTAACTGGACGTCTCAGGCGCTGGATTTCCCAATGTCACTTGTACCGAGGTGTTTGACGGTGTAATTTTAATATAGTTTACAGGAGCAGGCTTTTGAACTAAGATTGAAAACCACGCAAACGTTAGCAAGGAACTTATTTTATCTGGTGTAAACGCTTACATTTACTACGGTCATGGGCGTACCGGAAGGAAAAAATTAGGGGGGCGGAAAGAAAATTGCCCGACTTTTCGAATTCTGCCCGACTAGTACCAAAAAAATTTTTCTGGAAAAATTATTTTGGCGACCTCCCCCCCACCCCCACCCACCCACCCCCGTCGCCAAAAAAATTTCGGTCAGTGTACCATTTTAGGGGTCAAAAATTTTTTCCGGACAACCAATTTTTTTCGGAACATAACACAAATTTTCGAAAAATCGCAAAATTTGCAAAAAAAATTTACTTAATTTTAGACAAAATTGACTTAATTTTAGACAAAATTGACAGAATTTGTCCCATTTTTTTTATTGCAAGCCAAAATTGCCCGACTGTTGATCGAATATTGCCCGACTGCCCAAAAAACTGGGGGGGCTACCGCCCCCCCCCCCGCCCGGTACACCTATGACTACGGTATTCAAACATTCCTGATGTAGCATGCATATCCCTTGAGGGGGGGCCAAAGGGGCATTTTGCCTCACGCCCTAGATCAAAAGGGGCCCCCAAAGCAACGAAGATCCTTGAAATCTCTTGATACAAGATTGCTTAACCGAGAATATAAAACATATGGCTGCGTAAGATATTGTAAAACATCGCTACTTTTCGCTACTCCCGTTTTACAATTATGACGTTATAAGGCCACCCTGGGAAAGTTTTCCCGAGACCCGCGCATCCTCTTGGCGGCCCTGGTAGCAGTTAAGTTTTTTTACACTGGTGAAACTTACAGCACATTAGAGAAACTTCAAAGATTATTTGAATTACATCGAATTTCCTGTTTTGGGACATAAAATAACAAATATAGGGAATTGAAGTGTGTCTCTGCCTCACTTTTACAATTACATGAAACGAAATCTTGATGATAGGGACGCCGAATAATCAGTTTTAATGGATTAGTATGCATTATCTTCAAAAATTATTTCTAAAAGTGTCGAAATGCTTTAAAACTAATCTCCATAATTTGGACAAGTTAGCAGTTTTGGCTGTGCCACCTTAAGGGATTCTAGAAGGTGGTTATCGTGAAGTTGTAAAATGGAGCAATATGAGCATTATATATATTATCTATAAAGTGGTCACGTCAATTATTACATAATGTACAATTCTAAATAGAGAGTAAATTCTTATGGCTAATTTTCCAATCAAACCAGTAATAGCACATATGCCATATGGCAAAAACCCTGTTTACACAACCAGTAAATTAAAAAATAAGCTAACCTTCTCCACAGAGTTCTATTCTGAGACAAAAGTCTGTGTTTCCAGTTGATTGTATCTTAATATATCTCACATTGTAAATACCCACGTCCGTAGTCGATGCTTGGTAGCCATTCTGGTTTCCTGTTATCTGAAAGATAGTATGAACTTAAGGACAATTAAGGACTATTTAAACTTACAATTTGAGTATTTTGTCGCCATAAATAAGTCGAAACAAAGAAAAACAAAAAAGCGCGGGAATATATTCTTGTGAATGACTAATGCAATGAAAATTGGCGTAATGGCCATTTTTCTGCGCAATTGTGGTGGAGAAACTCATTCAGCTCCACTTGCTATTAACTAAGCTATTAACCTCTCCTCTTCCCTCCCTCGCCCCCCTCCCTTGACAAGAAAGAAACACATATACCCGTTTAGTAAATCTGCTAACTGACCTGGAAGTTCATGGTTAGTTTTTACTTTTATAAGATAACGGCCAACTGCAAGCCGGCAAATGGGAGAGGAGTTATTGCAAATTATTGTACAGTCAATTGGTTTATCGTGTACATTAATTAAGAAAATTGAAGTTGATAGTATAAACAAAATAGCAAGTACCATATTTTAACGTGAAAATGTAACGAATAAAACGTAAACGTTGGTCAGAAAAGTAAGTAAACGCGTTATCGTTCCATTTAAGTCAAAATGTAACTAGTTATAGTTACAGTTACCTCTTTTCAAAACGCAACTAGTTAGCGTTACAGTGACCTAAAAAGTAACGAGAATCACTTGGAATTTCGTTACTTGTAACGAAGTTACTTACAGCACTGCATGGCTGCCTATACATTTTTTTCAGCAAAGTTTTTGTTACAATCATAATTACCATTTTGTTATTTTGATAAAAAATATACCTGTATTGCAAGATTCGTATTCACCAAAGTTTTATTGTGACTGTATCTCATTGAATATGACTCACTCCGTTTTGTCTGATATCTGTCACCCATAACCACAACCCGTGTTATGTGATATTCTTTTTGAAGATCAAGTGAAAGATATGAGCCAGACCTCGAAGGACACCAGCCACTTCCAGTAATCCTTGCATTGCCGTAATAATTAGAACCACCACTGCCAGAAAATACTTTGTTTGGAAAGGTGTGATGTATGCCTTCGAGTAAAGGTTCATCATCACATATTTTGCCTACAGTGAAAATAGAGAAAGAAAATGTACGCCCTACCGGCATCGGGTTATTACTTATAAGTCTTATATAAATCTGTGCAATGCAATCGAAAATTAGTTGTGACGAGAGAGAAATCCATCATGCATGTATCTGGCTATGTTTAGACCAAGTAGGTACAATCATATTTAAAGTACTGTCATGGTAGGATAAGAAATTATGTTAAGTTATTTGTATGTTTGGATGCATGAACGTGATTAATATAGTTTATTATGGTGTGCGATTTTTCATGAACATATTTCTCGACTGTGTAATTTCCTACACTTATTACATAAATCTAACAAGACTTATAATTATATTTATATTCAGGTATACACCATAATCAATTTGCGCTGATTTTATGACTGTTATAATAAAATAATTATTTTACAATGGTTATACTTATATCATACTCACATCTCGCGTATGGGATTGGTACATTTGAGGAAGGTATAGAAGGAATAAGATGGACACAACAGGATATCCACTTGGCTGTGTGTTATAACATATCAAGTCCCCAATTGAAATCTTATACCGGCCTGACCCAAACGAAAAAGTTTGAGGATCCTTCGCGTCCGTTTCTTTGAATCCCAAGTGTTGACACAGCATTTTTTCTCGCTTTGCATCCCAATTTTCTTCATTAACGTATATCCACGTAGAGCCTTCCTTTATTTGAAGATAACCTCGGTATGAAATTGTTAATCTTATCTTAGGTTCTGAAATTTTGAATGAAAGAGTAGATTTATTCTTTAGACAAACTGTTACAATACCCTTTCTAGTCCTGCCATGCGTCCATACCTTGACCATTCCAATTTTGGGTGGTAAACCGCGTAGCAATAGATGCTAACAACCAGGAACGACGGAACGAGGGGGGGGGGAAGGAGACATCTCTCCATCACGCCTCCTGCCCTTTCCTAGAGAAGGCAAAGGAGGAAATGTGCCCATTTTTATTATAGGAAAATATTTAGATGTTTTAAAAAATCATTGCATGTTCGCCACATGAGCCCAAAATCGGAATTAATATACGGTTTTTCAGCCACAGAGATTATACACTAGAGGAGGCATCGTAATCTTAAGTCAGTCAAAGTAAGGTAACGCGGCTATTGGGGGGCAAAAAATTAAAATGCTAAAATAAGAATTTGAGCCAAAATCTCTAAATCCATGTTTATGGCGGTTAAGTAGTCCCGTTTTGATTTTTACCAAACATTTTTACCTCCATTTTGTCCATAACACATTTTTAGAGCTGCAGCAATTTTGATCTTTGGGGAATTAATCGTTTGAATTCAAAATTTGGGAGGAATATTTGTTGTAATGACATGCAAAACATATAAAACACCCAGTTTTGTGACTCTTGTTTAAAATTTTTCTGGTTTCAAGCGTAACCCAAGAATGGTGTAGTGTTCATCCGGGATTTCAATTCCCCCCCCCCCCCATTACCACGTTCCCCAATATCACTCTCGATGCCCCTTCTAGTGTTGTTTATAATCTCTATGTTTTTAGCCTCATTAATATCAGTACATCAGCATGACAACATACGCATGCTCTGTTCAGGTGAACTAGGTCATCTTACGTCTTAATTAATGTGTGCCGATTGTGAAACCAACATCAAAGGTTTCAACCAGTATCACCCATTGTTCAATAGATCGACAGTGTTGGACATTGTTTAAGTGTTTTAAATAACAGCCTTTTTATTATTATTGGTTGTCCCTTAGATTTGTAGAGTGCTTGATACAATGGCCTTGTCAGTGATCAAAGCTTAATACCAATAATGGTAGACAAAATATGTTTGTCTACTATTATTAGTCACCAAATATGTAACTTGACACTTAACTGTAACGCCTTTTGTAAAGTAATCGGCCAACAAAGGCAAAGACGTGCAGATGTAATGTTATACGGCGGATGATATTACTAGTCTAGCATGCACCCTGTTAAATAGCATTTCTTTAAATGCTATTTATACATTTCAGAATATCCAGTTTACCTGTTATGGTGGTTGAATGATAGGTATCAACACATGCGTACTCGGTGTAAATTTTTTTTCGAGTACTCGAACAATACTGCGATGGTAATAAATTTTGGTTGACGGCCAATTTACAGAATTTCTTCCCATCACAACGTGATTTCACCTGGCAGTTCGTTAATACATTGCATTTCGGATCGATTCTTGCAGTGCCAGCAGACACGCCTTTCTGATTGAAATCTCCATAAACAGCCCTCTTGATTACAATATGTGCTGGAGAACAGCGAACATTTGACATTGTGGTGCCGTAGTTGGTCACTGTACCTGAAACAGAGTTAGCAGCAGAGTATAAATCTTCTGTTCCCAATCCAGCTACAATTTTGGACATAATGGTTGAGAGAATTGCTTGTAATATTACAAACCTAACGTACATTGACAAAACAAACTTCGTGACCTCTCTTATTTCTGAACATATTTTGTGGTGTAAAAGATAAAACATCAAAAGATAGATATCGGTTACGTGTATCTCCTTAATGAGGAAAACGTATTTCGAAGAGAGGTTTAATGTATGTATTATCACTGGAAAAAAATAGTGAAATCCATACCACAGAATTTGCAGTTACATCATTAAATTCGTATTATCTCCATACTATTTCCATAGTATGGAAATTGTAATTAGTATGAAAATTGGATTTCTATTCTACAGTATATTTGCAAAAAATTGGACTTTTATCCTATTTCCATATAGTAAGGGTTTTGAAAAAGATTTTCAGTAATTGATTACGGTATACACATACATGCAGCTACGTTTACCTGTTACCCTGGTCTTAAAACTTTTAAAAACCTTAATGCTCTTCTGCAAAGAACGATCACGAGTCTCAATTTCAACTTCATACCAAGTAAACAGATTAAGTCCTTCAATATTGGTCTGAGTTCCTCGAGATACATTCTTGTATTCTGTACCATTGAGGTATATGACGAGGTGTGTTATATAACTAGAGGCTGAAGCGGAGGTTTGTAGCTTCCACGTCACACTTGCCGAGGTATATGATGGTTGAATTTTAATGTCTTGTACAGCAGCTGGCATTTGAGCTAAATAGAAAACACGACAAAGTTTATATAGCAAGGAATTAAACATGCTATACTGGACTACTGGTCATTTTGTCTGTCTGGTGTATCTTGACTTGGACATGCAGAAGTTTTAAAATTTGGGACCGTTAACGTTTGATGTGTCAATTCGCTGCAATTATTAGTGCTTTTTTGTTTTGCTAGTTTTTTCGGATTTTTCGAGATTTTTTTGTGTATTTTTATCTTAGGAATTTCGTCGATGGATATCTTCACTTATCACACAACTTTTCTAGTGTAAGTTACCTAGTAACCTACCTTCTCCACACAGTTCCATTCTAAGACAAAAGTCCGTATTTCGAGTTGATTGAATCTTTATATATCTCGCATTATAAACTCTATCAAGCTGCGTAATGGATGCCTGGTATCCGTTCTGGTTTCCTGTGATCTAGCGGAAGAAACGGTTATCGTATATAAATTAAACGTTGCTTTGCGTTAATACTGTCAAACTGTAGCAACGCGGAAAACAAACCAAATTATGGATTTATTTTAAAGTGCGAGTGTGTCCATGCAGTTTGCGGTTGCTAACAAATTTAATGTCTTACTTTTCACTTCAATGTTGTATATATATCTGGTGAAAAGCAAGGTTTACAACAATCGAGGAAAATGTTTGTGCAAATCATGAGAATTCTGTAAATGTGAATTTTTAACTCCGCATTAAATATTGATTCCTCTCGAATTTTCATCATATAATATCGAATTTTACAGATTACTATTACAGATACCTGTATTGATCTACTGCTATCAATCAAAGTCCCAGCACGGCTGTATTTCATTGAATATGAGTTACTCCACTTTGTTTGTTCTCTATCAGCTATAACCATAACATGTGTTAAGTGATATTCTTTTTGAAGGTCGAGCAAAAGATACGGGGTGGAACCCGAAGCACACCAACCAACTCTGCTTGATCTCACGTTTCCATAATATTTAGAGCCACCACTACCAGAAAATACTTTGTTTGGCGGAAACGTGTCAACGTCATTCAGAGATAGCGGTGTATCGCATATCTTGCCTACAGTTAAAAGAGTAAAACTGGGTAAATAAATGCCCGCACTGGCATCGGGCTGCTGCATAAATTTGTACACTATAATCGTCTAATCCTAATTACTTGTAACGTGAAAGGAATCTAAAATCACCAATTTATCTTCCCATGCATGCATGTTTATGCAAGTCAGAGGGTCAGTTAGGTGTTGGAGGAACAAGAACACACTGAGAAAACCCAATACATACTGATTTCATGTTCGTTAATTAAGGGCCCTGGATGTCACACTATTGCGTATGAGAGAAACGTATGAGAAGCGTATGAAAATTAATGAAATAATTTTCATATATGCACAAAACTCATTTGAAACGCCAGCGTATGAGTACCGTACATCTGGCGTACTTTAGCTATCGTATTCAGCGTGTGCTTAGAGTATGCTTATCGGCGCGTATAAACCATATACGTCCGAATACGCAAAACATTTTTGGGCATGCTTAAAAAAATTTTCTGCTTTACCGTTATGCGACCGTGCTTGAAACGTATACAACCTAAGCCTAACGTACCCCTAGCATATGTCAGCGTATACCAGCGTATGAGCGATATTTTTCGTACGCTGGCACTGGCTAGTACGATACGCAATAGTGCATGTGACAGCCAGTGGCGTAACATTATATCAGAAGGCCCCTGGTTCAAACTTTTCGAAGGCTCCCCTAGTCGAGCGCCGTATATGCACGAGTTTTCTAGTGGGTCCAGGGCATGCTCACCCGGAAGATTTTTGAATCTAGACTCTCTGAAATGCCATTTCCCGGACTTTGGCCGGAGAGATTTTACAGAATTCTGATGGTCAGAAACAGCAGTGTTGCTCTATACTCTAGGCTATATAGCCTGAGCCTGGGGGGCCCCATTGGGGTTGGGGCCCCGGGTTCTCCCGGTCCGAGACCATTGTAGGTACGCCACTGGTGACAGCTAGGGCCTTTACACGTAAGCCATACTCACATTTGGCCCACGTCATGTTAATATTTGAAGTGCTTCTAGAGGGAACAAGATGGATACAACAGGACATTTTACTTCCCCGAGTGTTATAACATCTTAAGCTCCCAGTTGCAATATTACGTCCTGTCCTAATCAGATAATAATAAAAAATATCATTCACGTCCGTTTCTTTAAATCCCAAATGCTGACACATCATTTTTTGACGATTTTTATCCCAATGTTCTTCATCGGTATTAACTGTTCGCCAAATTAAACCTTCCTTTATTTGAATGAAACCTTTGTTTGCACATTGTGATAATCTCATATTGGTTGCTAAAACGAAAAGTTTAGAATTTAAGAGTACACTTTATTCTTTTAAAACTGTCAAATTTATACAATAATTAGCAAGGCAAGATTTTGAAGATTTTTTAAGGAAAATATTACAAACATATTGACAAGTATGGCCCGTTCAAACCACTCGAACAATGTTGGATGATCTTAGATGGAAACATTTTTGTGCCAAGTCAAACCTGATCCAACATCTAACCACACTGGACACGCATTAATTACCAAACTTTACCAAACTCAGCAATACATGCTTGCTGCTAGCAAATGTTGGTCCTATACTCAACTGGGGCTCTATGTTTGATCAGGTTTGACTGTATATGCAGCTAAAACCTTTCAACCAATATCATCCCAACATTGTTGGATTGATTATGTTGGACAATGTTGGACTGCATGGTTTGATTGCCCTTTATTATTATATCTCAAACTCATTAATAATTCATGAGTGCATTAGCCAACCATATTGCTTTATTCTGCTCATATGATAATACTGGATACCTGATGAAGTACATTGATCCAGTCGTAGGACAGGATCAAAATTAATTCAGTCCTTGGACCGTATAAAAATTAATTAAATAGTGATTCATTTGCATGAGATGTCACAAATCAAATCCTCGGCTGGCTCGGACTTGATCAAATTGCGCGGACTTGAAATCTAGTCCAGTCCTCATAGTCGGATTTGAAATATTACTTCCATTACTGTATATAATCAGCACAAATATGTGTCAGGCCTTCATGGTTACTTACACCTACACCTACACCTACACCTACACTTACACCTACACCTACACCTACACCTACACCTACACCTACACTTACACTTACACTTACACTTACACTTACACTTATACTAAGCAATTATTGGATGAGGCTGAGCATGATATCAAGAATTATTCAGACCGAGGTCAATGTTATCTGCCGAAGCGAAGCTGAGGCGGATAACATAGACCGAGGTCTGAATAATTCTTGATATCATGCGAAAGCCGAATCCAATAATTGTTTTATTATACATTTAAAGACATGAGAAACATTAAAAGGACAAATTCCTGTTCACGAGGTAGGAAAAATACAATTTGAATATCAAACACCTTGCACAAAGTCAAAGGTCAGCTAAATATTCTATTTCTACTTCTATTTACCCCTTTGTGGCTTTTTTCGTGCTTTCACTGTCCTTATCTGCCAATAATTTGGAGAGTTCACTTTCAATCAGCGAAGCAAATCTGCTGTAGGCCATTGTTTGTTTGTTTTTTCGCGCGCTTATCAATCTCGTTCCCAGAGTATGCCTGTTCGCGGGTTAGGTTGTGGCACAACCTAACCCGCGAACAGGCATACTCTGGGAACGAGATTGCGCGCTTATAGGTTCAAGCTTTTGGCCGCGCAAGGGTTTGGGCACGAGAGAGTCCAATAATTTTTTTTTTGGATGCAAGTTCGATCCAAAAAAACAATTATTGGACGCTGATGACGTCATCGGCGGAAAATACGTAATAAATGCCGAATACTGAAAATTAGCCGGTGCTTTCTGACCAATTAGAAACGAGAATACATATTAAATGTATAATAATTATACTTATACTTATACTAAGCCATCTGCAAACACAGTAAAAGCTGCGCAAGCTATTGTAAGTAAAATATTACATTAACTAGTCTTGGGTGCACCCCGGCTGCTGTTAAATATTTCTATATTTAAGAATATCCAGTTTACCTGCTGTTGTGATGGTTGAGCTATTGCTATCCACACAAGTGTACTCGGCGTAAACTAGATAGATAGAAGATAGAAATTTTATTTATACACGCTGATCCCATCAACCGAAGCTGATTTCCACGAGGGGCGACTGTGCCAAAAAATAAATAAAAAATTTTACATGTACAAGAAAATTTACAGCTATATTATATATACTATCGCCTGTATTCTAAAAGCTCACTCACGCTCACACTCAAAGAGTGAAGGTTCAATCTGAGCTTCCCATGAGTGTCAGTGTTGTTTTTGAATAGCTGGATGGTTAGTGTCGTATACTTTACTATGTGACTACTCACCATCCAGCTATTCAAAAACTGCACTCTCAAGGCAAGCTCAGATTTAACCTCCACTCTTTGAGTGTGAGCGACCTTTTAGAATACAGACGTTAATCTTTTAAACTGATATAGAGTATTAAAATATAGTAACATATTAATGAGTATTAAAATAGTGGTCCCAAAATAGAGCTTTGTATAGTACGCCACGTTTATTCAATTGTTGACAAGTTCGTACGAGAAGGCACTTACCACAATGTAACATAAAAGCGGAGAATATTTTATAGGCCGTTTTATGCTAATTTTTGGCATTTTCAAAAATGGTAGTTCAACTGTTATAACTGCAGCCATGTCAACCTACAGTTTGAATAACTATTTACAACGCATGAAAAACCAGATTATATAGATTATTTGATTAGGATTTTATAATTTGTAGGATTATTGTCCCAATTTATTTCTAGGGATGTTTTAGTTTAGAAAAAAGATACATACATATTCTCAAATTGTACCATGGGATTATACAGAGATTCGTCAGAGGTCAAACCGTGTAAAGAGGTGAATAGTTTGGACGTTCTATGGTTTATAAAAAATTATTGAAACGAGCTTTCGACTGCCAGTCTGCAGTCTTCAACGGGCAAGCGATAATGCATCTATACGAATATATTTTTTATAAACCATGCAGAGAACGTCCAAACTATTAATATGAATAATCCTGGTTACGCTTCTACCATTTTTACGTGTAAAAAGGGCTTGAGATTCTACGGTGATATAGGTCATTAAAACAAAGTTTGTACAAAATCAATATACACTTTCCAAAAAGAATGTGGCATACATATACAAACTATATTTAACCAAGCAAGCCTCAACAACCGTTAGGAGACTGATTTCCATGAGGGGCGTGAAGTATAGAGATAATTTTTACAAAAAATAAAGAAATACGAAAAAAGATAAAACAATTAGACTAGACTGCAGGAAAGGGAACAAGAAAATACAATGATTTTTAATGCACGATCATACATGTGCAAGTTTCTACGCATTCTTTGTTTTAATATCGATTTGAAAGAGCTTAAGGATTCAGCAAATTTTGCCTCATGGGGAAGATTGTTCCAATGCAAGGCACCGTTATAACTGAAGCACCTCTTGTCGAATTCTCTTTTCGGCATAGGTGATGCTAAATCAGTTTTCCTATTTCTGAGATTGTATATGTATGTCTTTCATAATTATTAGATTGAAATGCTTCTTTAAGATTTGGTGCAGTGTGGCCATTCAATTGTGTGAAAACTCTTAAAGAAACACAACATTTGCAGGTATGCAGCCAATGCCCAACACTCTAAATTATGTAGCTACTTCTATAACATACTAATATATTTTGTGCACTCGCATTTTGACACCGTACGTGTACTAAGCTATATAGATTAGCACATTTGAGTCGGATGAATAATAGCCAGCGATTAGGCAGTTGAGTTCAGGTTTGATTTCACGGAATTCAGGGCATTTTTAAAAAAATTACAACTACTGGGGCTTAGTCTCAATTAGGGCCTTCCCCCACACAGTTTATACGGGTACTGTGTAAAAATCACTCTGTGCATGCTCAGGAGCAGCGCCATCGCTATTTAAATAGAGGGTGTGTGGGTGTAAGTGAAATATTGCCTATACTAATTTCAAACGCTAATTAGTATTTCTTTTCATCCAACTGGGATTAGATAATTTGCCGACTACCTGACGATTGGGGGTGTTCCACACCCACAACACACTTTTAGCGCCGCCCCTGCCTGTGCTGACTTTTATAAGAGGGAATGTCGAGAATGTGAGAGGATTTGAGAAAGCATCTCGATCTTTCAACAAGGTTAACTTTTTACCAATGATCAAAAGAGCCCAGTTCATCTGAAAATCATGCTTCGATCACTACTGGGGCAAGCAAAGGGCCTATACAGAGGTAAATGCCCCAGTAGTTATATATAGTTAAAAAATCCCCTGACGGAATTTACAAGAGATTGTGCTAATACTTTAATCACTTTATTTCTCTTATTTTCAGGGATTATATTCGAGTTCAATTTCGGATTTTAGGGATTTCGCAAAATCTGGCCGGATTTCATGGGATTTTTTGAAAAATGTTTTTAGGAAGGCACGAGCCACTTGAATTGTTTGACAGAAGTAATATATTCGTCAAATATATACATCAGAATACCTACCTTTAAACACAAATGATATTGTACCATATAACAGTAACCAGCGATGAACTAGCCACGACATTCTGCTGCTGATTGTGGAAACTGATACAGGAAAAGGCTCGTTAAACCACGAGTTCCTAGTCTTTGTACTTCCGCATTTTAGTTCCCGAGAAAACATGCATCATGCACGAAACGAATATATGTTAATTAAACCGACTTTATACAGAGAGCAATATTTATCACCAAACTGTACTTGGAAATTGGATTTAATTCAACGCACACTTAATTTATTGTCGGTTTCGGTATAGCGACCAATATAATTGATATGTTCGGTCCAACGCCATGTTTATTGATTCCGAAAAAGCTTTCGATTTATGCTTATATATAAACAACAAGTTCATCGGTATATAAATTATAAAATCTTGTCGGCGAAAATCGCCTTTTCCCGACTGACATCTGTACATGATAAGGTTCTTCGACTCTGCAGCTATGAACATCTTTGCTTAAATGTGAAATGATTCAGCATCCCATGTTTTCTGCAATCTTCTTTTTTCGTAACTGATGTTAATTTACCCACGAAATTTCGTTGATAAGTCGCATGCAAGTTGAACCGGCCATTTCTAAATTTACAAAGACTTAATAAATAACCCGTATGTTACAGGGGGATTTGAATCCAAAATGAGAATAATTTCAATCACTGCGACAATAGTTTTGCCGGCTCAATTCCCAATGGTGAAAAAATGCAATTTCGATCGGCTCGTATATCAAATCGGGTCGTATGTATTTGCCATTTTTTTATTGCAATTGTGCCAAGTTAATTCAGGAAGTAAAATCTGTATGTAATAGTTTGATCATCTGATTATCAATTTCCCGTACGTTTGTAATGCAAAATGACTGAAAAACGGCAAACTTCGCAAGGCTATAGTATCGGCATTTTACAACGCAACGAAACTTCGGAATATTACTACTTTAATTTGCTATGCTCTTTCAAGCTGTCATGAAATTTTTGTCCAGACTAGTCTAGATCAAAGGGGAAAGGTCTATTGGTTGAGGCTATTTCCCTCCCCTCCCGCCCCCTACAACATTTGGATACATGCACTTGTGATAACTAAATTCCTCTCATGTTGAGCTTCTTAAGACAAGCCCCTGCTCCCCCAAACTCAATGTTGATCTCAGTGTGTCATGGTAAATTACCGTTGGGGTGGAGGGGGTGCCAAGGGTTGTTTTGTCAGTATGCATTTATACTTTGCAATATTGGCTGGAACAGTCTCAAGGGTTTTGTCCAAGATTGTAGAATGCTAGAATGGCATTGAAGTGATGAAGGTCAGTGACAGTGTCTAAAACTGTCTATACTATAGTTAAAACTTTAATATAAATTATCAAAGACAAAGGCTATAAGTCCCTACATATTGGGAACTATAAAGTTACCTTTGATAGGTTCGAAACAACTCATGATTTGCGAAAGAACTCATGGTTTGCTGTCTCATACGGAAATACTGCATGGGTACGAGGTTGGTCTAGGTTTTCAGGAAAACGAAATATTTTTACAGCGTGCTATAGGAAGTGTTGGTTTGCTTTCTTTTCTACTATTTACAACATCCTTTCCCACTTATGGCAGTTTTAATACAACTCCAATATTGAACTTGGTTTTTTGTCGAATCAGTATCTGGATCAACGTGCAGTCCTGCTGGCTGCTACAGAGTGTAGAAGTTGATAAAAGTCCGCAGGTTCTCTGTTGTCTTTCAAGGACATGTAGGTTGAGGATTCTTGTCCTGTAGAAATTTCTGGTTTAGATTCAGCCTTGATCCACATCATACGAAGCGGGGTGATGATCAGGCAGTGGAATATGAAAATCCTGCATTTAATGCGAATTTCAGTGGTGATTAAGAAAGAAAAGTAGTTAGTTTATATAGGTCACATCTAACATTTAAACCTTTTCAAAACACTGAAACGAAACCGACCTTTTGAAATATGTTTGGAAATTAAAGTACTTTGAATAAGCAAGCTTTTAATATAATCAATGTCCATTTTTAAAGCTGGTTACAGACGAGCACGTTTTCTATGAGAAGTTTTTATGTGGCAAGTTTTATTTGCTATGTGAGTCTGTATACATGCAATATTAACAAATTTTACTGTGACAATTTTTACTGTGTGTAGTAGTATCCTGGTACACAATATGCCGGTTTTCGATACACTTTAATATGGCCACGTTTATTGTCAAATTTTTCTTGACAAGTTTACGTTCTCGTGTGTAGGGTCAACGAGTTTTCCTTCAACAAAAACAAGCAGAAACTCTTTAAGGTAGTGATATAACCACTCAGCACAGCATTTTCACATTGGTACTACCTACACTGGTACAGACAGTTTTCCTTTAACAGTTTCCCTTGAGGGTTTTGTTGCACAGAATGTTGTCAAATATTTATCTTCATTATGTAGAAGTATTTCTTGAACACTTGTCAAAGTTTGCCTTGGCGGCCGCACACACGTCCGAACAAATTTTCCGGCCTTGTCCTGAAAAGGTGGTATGGCTTCCCTGAGCTAAATGTTCTGAAAAATTAGCATAAAATCTATCGAATTTTGTATAAAGGGGAAAAGTAGTCTCATGCAATCAATAATATGTCCAAGATTGTAGCTCTAGTATCTCATCAAACCGAAATTATAAACTCGTCATTATTGTTTCAGCGTAATATCCTCATGGTAGTTAGAATATATATATTGCAAGTGAGTTCTTCACGCATCTGTTCAGTGTTAAAAACTTAGTATAACAGGTTATTTTTTGAAAATCATAACCGGGGAACAGAATAATCATGACCTCTTATCCAGTTGCCATGTGAGAAAAATTACCCGGCATGCAACTTGTGTTTTTTTTTCAATTTGCAACTATGACACTCCAGACTGTCCAAAATAACAGCCATAGAGAAGCCAAGACTGGCCGATGCTCCAATTTTTTTCAAACTAGCACTGAGGCAAAAGGATAAGACAGATAAGCTGCACACCTCAGGCTCCAAGGCTAGAGGTTAAAGGCTAAAGGTTAAAGGCTAGAGGTTAAAGGCTAGTTTTCGCTCAGAAAAATTATCCGTGGATTCGAACGGACAAGAAATTTTTTCTTTGTCTTGTGGGCTCTGGGTTGGAACTAATGATTTTCACGAAGAAAAGAAAAATTTTCTTGTCCGTTCCAATCCACGAATAATTTTCCTGAGTGGAAACTAGCCTTTAAGCTAATGTTGTTTCAGCGACGGATCTAGGCGTCGCAATTACTGTAAATCCCTGGAAAACAAAACAGTATGGTCTGGCTGCGATTATCGATTTTTATTTATCGATTGACGGCCCAATCTATTTTCACTTTAAACAAAAATGACGTCTCCACCACAAGAACCTCAACAAAGGTTACCCCTATAGAATAAAGGGAGGAGGCTACCTTTCACCATTAAATAAATATTCCAAGTTTAAGTCAGAGATTGGTAGTTGTCTTCTACATCTCTGGTTTGGTTTAAATCAGTATATGTTGACTCCTCCTCAGCATTCACCCTCAACGACTGATAATTATCTTCTGTGTTCAGTTTTGTAAGATCAAGCTCTTGATAAGTTGTATCAGCTTCAGTTGTCTTTGGTTCATGGTTTGATTGAGGTTGTGTCCTTCTAAATTTACGACGAGAACACGACACAATGTAGGAAAGGAGAATTCCAATGATGATTCCAGACACCAATGTTACGACAACAATATACCATTCTGCTCCACAGCTGGTGTCATTTGCTTTGTCTAAATGTTGAAAAGTACACTAGTGCATGTATATATCAGAGCACGCTGTCAGTAAAACTACATACCAAAATAGTCAGTAAAGATATAGTCTGGAAACTCAGCCAGAGCCTATGTTATAATCAGCCAGAGCCTATGTCGGCTAAAGGGTTGTTATGACAGTACTCGTATGATACCATTCTATTAATGAATTTCTGGCATGCGGAATGTATACGATAAGTAATTCTCAGGAGCGTAGGAACCGGGGGGGGGACACGTCCCCCCCCAATTTTTTCAAATGACCCAAAGTGCCCTTTTTTGTGGTGAAAAGGGCACTTTTCAAGCTAATGTACAAGCTAATGTCAGTGTAAATACTAAATTAACATCAAAGGTGCCCTTTTTGTTTGGAAGTTTCGATGTATTTAAAAACAATTTGGTAAAAAACGTGCAATTTCCGTATAGTATGACGGGAAATTGTTTTTAAAAAAGAAGTTTTTATGTGCCCTTTTCAATATCCAAAAATGCCCGTATAAATTAATATTTTTGAAATGTTTGGAGCTCAAAAAAGACAAACATGGCGTATATATATATTATCGCATATAGTTTGAATGTACAATTTTTATACAGAATTTCAATGGTTAGTTCAATTAATTATAATCTAATTTATCTTTTCGTGCTAGCCTGTGATGCATGTTTTTGAAACAGCTCAACCTTTGCATGATGCATGTGTATATACTATATACTATTACAGTGTTCTGTACTGTGTTGTTTTGTACTGTACTGTACTGTACCGTACTGCAACATAATATACTTCGTGTTCCAAGATCCGCCATGTAAAGTGTAGTGAAATGTATCTCATTGCAATATTAAATCCTAAGAAAACTAAAGCCTCTGCGGAGGAGAGAGACTTCACTGCATTGTTTGTATAGAACTGATTGTACACAGGGACGCCGGAACAATGTGAAGGCAAGGCGGCAGATTTTCGTCCTTTTGACAGAACACTTTTGTATTGATATATACTAAGAGATGTTTGCAAAACATCGGGAGTTGAACTTCGCCTAATTAACCATGTTTTCTATTTATTGGATGATAGGGGTGTGAGGGGGTTCTCTGCCAGGCGATTGTGCTATTCTTGAAGCTCGATGACTGCATTTCTTGCGTTTTCTGAAGCAAATTCGTAAAATAATTGCACTAACATTTCTGACAATTCGCTATTTCGCTAAGGCAATCCTTTAAATTGAAAGGGCACCTTCGCCCCCCTTGCCCCTCCTGGAAAAGGGCAACGGGGGCGTCTGCCCCTCCTGCCCCCCAGTTCCGGCCCCCCTGATTGTACAATTCCTTCTCTAATAATATACATGAAAAAATTCTTAATTCTGATTGGTTATGAGCAGTGCAATAGCAAACTCTATATGCGGTCAATTTACCATTCTGTGAAGTTCTAGATGGAGTACTCCAGGACACTGTCAGTTGTTCTTTACTGCGGTTTGTGAAAGCCACCAATCCTGGAGCTCCACTAGGTACTGAAGAAAGAGAAAAAAAAGCGTGTATTGAGTGTCACGTTCGGGAGATTTTTACACATACCTATGTTACGGATTAAGGCAAGGATTATAGGATTAAATTAGGGTTCACCATAAAGCAGAATGGAGTTTGAGTTAGGTAATGCAAGGATGAAGTTATTAGTGCTTGAATTCAGGATGATAATATAAAAAGGTCCAAAAATTCTCCCTACAAGGTCCCAATGTCCCTTTTCTTAATGGCCCTCCATTGCACGAATAATGAAAGCATAACTAGCCTATATAAGGACGGCGACGCGGTCATGCATAAAGAACGTGAAAATAAGACTCTTAGTTAAAAAAGATAAGAGATCAGAAAGTTATCATGATAAGCAATATATAAAGTCGAATATTTACAAATTCCAAACATTGTTTTGTTTAGTTCATATTTTAATTTTTCGAAGACGACCTTTTTCTTCAAAATCTTTTTTTCCTTTCATATATTTGGATTATTACTCATACTGTAAATTGAGTACTGGGGCTGGTTGTTCAAAGCCGGGTTAGTTTAACCCTAGGTTAATTCAAAGTTCAAAGCAAACTTCTTCATAGCTTGTCTATAAATTTGGAAATGGTTCTTCAGAGATCTTGTCTGGATCGATAGTTTAATTCTCTGAAGTTTTGAAATACACAGACGTGCAGAAATACACAAACCAAATAAGCAGGTTGAATTTTAACCCAGGGTTAACCCACCTTTGAACAACCGCCCCCAGAAGGAGATGCGGAATCATAGTTGGAAAAACAAATGTGCGCAATGCTGTACATAGTTAAGATATATTCAGGGAACCATCTTTTATCTTCACCTGCTGTATTGGTCGTGAATATTTTATCTATGCTGCTGCTCCACTGTGAAGAGCCATCTCCAGCATAAATTGTAACAGTATACTTAGTGAACCGTGTCAGTCCAGTAATACTGAATTCAGTTCTAGATCCCTGTCGACGTATTGTCCTTAGATAGCTTTCGTTGAGATAAATTTTATAATGTGTTATTAACTGGACGTCTCAGGCGCTGGATTTTCCAATGTCACTTGTGCCGAGGTGTTTGACGGTGTAACTTTAATATCATTCACAGGGGCAGGCGTTTCAACTAAGATTGAAAACAACGCAAACATTAGCAAGCAATTTATCCTATCTGGTGTGAACACTTACATTTATGATGTCCGGGGAGAGGGGGCAAAGGGACATTTTGCCCCACGCCCCCAGATCAAAAAAGGGCCCCAAAGCAACGAAGGCCCTTAAAATTTCTTGATACAAGATTGCTTAAGTGAGAATATAAAATATAACTGCGTAATATATTGTAAAACATCGCTTCTCCTGTTTCACAGTTATTGACGTCATAATGCGCCATGGTAAAGTCCCCGGCCCCCGCGCAACAGTGAAGTTTTTACAACTGGTGAATCTTACGGTACATTAGGGAAAGTTAAAAGGTTATTTGGTATCGTTTGATATGTTAAGTATAGGTCAATTTACAACATGAACAATTCGAGAGAAAGGTAGGGATCGATACCAATATTATTTTTCGGCAAGCGTCTTTCAATAGGATGTTTTGATCAAGATGAAAGATAAACACCAACCTCACAAGCCATGGTCTTTTACTTCCGCACGGATAAACACCAGGTCCTATACATAAGTAATTTTTTGTCTGTCCTGAAGATTACTTTTCGAAATTATTTACTATCCTGATTAACCTAACAATATTTTCAGGGAGTGAACGAAGCCATTTGTGGTCAGAATATGAAGAAAAAGTGCGGAAGAAAATCTTTTCAGAAGAAAAAGTGCGGGGAAGCATGGCCCCTGCCTTCCCTCCCCCAACTCGCAGCGATTCCTGGACCAAAAAGTAATATGGGAAATTGCCCTCCTGTCATAGAGAGTTTCTAGTAAGTTACCTTGGTTGGTAAAGAAACTAATACTAGTAACCTACAGTACCTTCTCCACATAGTTCTATTCTAAGACAAAAGTCCGTTTTTCGATTGGATTGGATCTTTATATATCTCGCATTATAAACTCTATCAAGCTGCGTAATGGATGCCTGGTATCCATTCTGGTTTTCTGTGATCTAGCAGAAGAAACAGATATCGTGAATTACACGTTGCGTTGCGTTAATACCGTCAAACTGCAGCAACGAAAAACAAACCAAATTCTGGACTGTGTGACTGTGTCCAAATTTATTATCTTACTTTTCACTTCAATAGTGTATATATATAGTTGGTGAAAAGCAAGGTTTGAAAAATCAGGCAAATTCTGTAAATGTGGATCCAACATCTCCACATTAAACATTCATTCCTGTCGAAATTTCATCGAATTTTCATCATATAATATCGAATTTTACAGATTACTATTTCAGATACCTGTATTGATCTACTACTATCGATCAAAGTTTCAGCACGGCTGTGTTTCATTGAATACGAGTTACTCCACTTTGTTTGTTTTCTATCAGCTATAACCATAACATGTGTTAAGTGATATTCTTTTTGAAGGTCGAGCAAAAGATACGATGTGGAACCCGAAGCACACCAACCAACTCTGTTAGATCTCACGTTTCCATAATATTTAGAGCCACCACTGCCAGAAAATACTTTGTTTCGCGAAAACTTGTTGTCGTCACTCAGAGATAGCGGTTTATCGCATATCTTGCCTACAGTTAAAAGAGTAAAACTGAGTAAATTAACTCCCACACTGACATCGGACTGCGGCATAAATATGTTCGTTACTCACATTTGGCCCACGTCATCTTGGTATTTGAAGTGCTTGTGGAGGGAACAAGATTGATACAACAGGAGGTTTCCCTTGGTCGTTTGCTATAACATACCAAGCTCCCAGTTGCAATATCACGTCCTGCCCCAATCTGAAAATTAGAACTAATATCATTCGTGTTCGTTTCTTTAAATCCCAAATGCTGACACAGCATTTTCTGACGATTTTTATCCCAATGTTCTTCTTTAACTGTTCGCCAAATTAAACCGTCCTTTATTTGGATGAAACCTTCGTTTGCCCAATGTGTTAATCTCATCTTGGTTGCTAAAACGAAAAGTTTAGAATTAAAGAGTGCAATTTATTTTGTTGAAACTGTTAAATTCATGGAATCATTATAACAAAGCAAGATTTTGACGATATTTTAAGGAAAATATTACAAACATATCGAAAAAAGAACTGAATTGTTTGAACGCCTTTTTTATTATTTCGATTACTATGCGTTTATAGCCTGTCATGGCTGTGTCTACTTACCAATAAGCCTTTATATTAACCAATACAACAAAACTGCACAAAGATGCTTGTATACTGTATTCCATTGGGTTGTACTTAACAAATATAAAACATTTTCCGTGTTGATATACAGTTATATCAACACGAGTGGAATTGGGAAAACGAGAAATTATATGGAAACACGACGCCCGAAGGGCGGAGTGTTTTCATACAATTTCGAGTTTTCCCAACTTCCACGAGTGTTGATATAACTATATATCAATACGGAAATTTTATAATATAGCAATGTCAAAAGCCCGAAAGATAAGCAAAATTTCCGTGTTTACAAGCGGCGGAAAATTTCCCGTGTTGACATTGAGTTATATCAACACGGCTCTTAGCCAATCAACGTTCAGAATTTACAAATGCTATATTATAAAATAAAATATTACATTTACTACTCTAGGAAGCATCCCGGCTGCTGTACTGTTGAATATACTACAGTATATTTAAGAATAATTATCCACTTTACCTGCAGTTATGATGCTTGAGCCGAGGCTTGAGCTCTTGCTATCCACACAAGTGTACTCGATATATATTTCTTTTGAAGTATCACGACAATATGGTGATGGTAGTAAATTGCTGCCCATGGTTAGTGCACAAGATCTCCTTCCACCACAACGAGATTTCACCTGACAATTAGAAAGTGGACTGCATTGTGCATCAATGCTTGCTCTGCCATCAAACACGTCATTATTATTGAAATCTCCATAATCAGCTCTCTTGATCGCCATACGTTGCATTGAAGAACAATGAACATTTTCCGTTTTGGCGCCGTAGTTGGTCACTGAACCTAAAACGGAGTTAACAGTAAAATATCAATCTCCCTCTCCAAATCCAGCTGAAAAACTGTAGATATTTAGTATCGGTTTGGTTTGGTTTGGCCCCCCACATCTTACACAGATGGTCATAGCTCTTTTTTAAAAGCGTGACCTCTTTTCAATCTACAGGTAATGCAATTTGCTGCCGTTATATATGATTCAAATCACCAAAACCGATGACCAGATCAAGAAAGTGTTGGAATTAAATGGCATTTCCCAGCCAGAATTGTTTAGCTATTAAGTCTATGATGTACGACAGCCTGTTAAATTTCCATAGCGTTTGTTTTTTAGATACCCGGCCTAATAAGACAATTATTGAATCCGGTTTTCGTATGATATATCGAGAATTATCTCGGTTTGTGTTAAACACATCAGCCTTCGGTGGATAACACAAACCTCAGCCTTGATAATTCTCGATATCATACACAACCTCTTTGTTTATTCGCATATTGTGTTTTTTAATCTCTGTAACATGCTTGGACCACTTTAGATCATCACTGATAGTAAGTCCAAGAATCTTCGCATGACAAACCAAGTTTGGACACCCGGTGTTAAGTTTAACTGAACATTAGGAAACGGTGTTCTGGTTTTATGGAACTGGATTAACAGTTCTTTACATTTCTGATCGTGCAGTTGGAACTTGTTTTGATCAGTCCATGTTACGAGTTCATTGGAACGACTACAGAGGCCGTCTAATGTCATCTATATATTTTTCATAGCTAATGTCTGACAGTTTTGGGTCGCTTATCATAAGGATAAAGAGCCACGGTCCAGCTTGGCCTTTTGTGGAACAACCTCGTTCTCAGGGCCTTTGAACATCCCCCCCCCCCATTCTGGGAAAAAATCTCTCTCAAGTTTAACTCGCTGCATCTGCTTAGTTAGAAAATCGATTAGCCAATTAATGATAGGTGGTGGAATAGAAAGTTGGCGGATTTTATTAACCAATATGGTATGATCAATTAAATCAAATGCCTTACGCGGTAATCAAATACAAGCGCGCGCACTGAATCTCCAGTTCCGCTGGTAGCCTTGGCCCAATTGTGTAGCATACTACCGATAAGAGCTAAGGTGACCATACTGGTTGGGATCAATAGATTCTAAAATGGCAGGGGCAACATACTTCTCTATGAATCTTCCGTTCCCAACCCATGCATCGTGTATTATTCATTTCTCTATTTATCATTAAGAAATGAGCAGGTGATATCAAATAAGTTACAGGAGGTCTAGGGGGTTAATCCCCCTCCCCACCACCACCTCAATATTTTGCAAAGATTGGCTTAGCCCCCTCCCAAAAATCGATTTCGTCGTAAACACGTTTGCTAGATAATATGTATACAAAATTAATATAGATATCGATAGAAAAGATGGCTTGTTTATGTCAAGTAGCTCCTTTTAACAAGCGTGAGCTTTTTCCAACTACATGCAATTCAATAATGCTTTGTTTGCTGGGTATTGAAGCCCCCATCGAGCCTCAACGTTTCAAATTTTTCCTGGGAAAGAATCCCTGAGAAACGGACTCAAACGGTCACAAATTTCTGCCTACCTACAATCAGTGACAAAATACGTGCATGGACCGGTTAGGCTAAGACTGTAACATAATCTCCATCTCCC